CCGCCCCGCCCCCGAGGCGGCGGCCGGGGTGTTGCAGCGGGACGTTTCCCGCCCCCGGCGCGGCGGGAGCTGGGCTGGTCCCCGCCGACAGGCGCTGACACGCAGCCCCCGGCGCTTGGGGAAACTGGGAGTCCTCCAAAACGGGGCGATTACTGTCGCGATCGGCGCTTGTCCTGCCCTCCTCCCCCGGGCCCCGTCCGTGCCAGCGCTTGGCAGTGTGTCCGCTCTGGCATTAGCCACGGGGAGAGTCCGAGGGGGAAAAAACCTAGGCGACGTTTTCAATGGGAGGCTTTGCTGGTGGCCCCCGTCCACCCTTCTGCTGCGTGCATGTGGCAGGGTGGTTGTAAGCCCCCCTCGGAGGCTTGGGGTGTTGGCTACAGCCACCAGGGCTGGGGGCTTAGACTGGGCTGTGCCAACGCTCCTGCTGGGACCACAGCCTGAGGGTCTTGTCTCTCCGCTCAGGGTCTGAGCCATCCCCAGATTTGCGGTCAAGAAGCAATTTGACCCCCTGGTCAGATTGCTACAGACTGTGGCTGGCAGGTTGCCTTCTTCTGTACTGGGGGCATGGCCCTCTCTACCCCTGATCTCTTGAGTGCATACAGGTTTCCCTCGCTTTATGCTGTACATGCAGTCTTGGAAAACGGCGCATAACTCAAATTCACATAAAGGAAACATACTTTACAACGTAACAACTAGGGATACGTTTCAAGACCTTGACTGTACTGACCCCCAGACCCATTTTTACAAGACAGTTCTGGTACTCCCCAACAGCAGACACAAGCACAGGGCACTATCATAATGGGGATGGCAATGACAGAAACACGTGTCACAGACAACGAGTGAGGAGCACAGATCGACACAGGAGACTATATTTTGGTGCACACCACTCCCACGCTGCACTGCACAAAGCACCTGACTGCCGGCTTCCACTACACCGATTGCATAAAAGTGAATTTGCCGTGCATATAATGAATTTTTGGTATAAAAAGGGTCATCGCATAAGAGTGAATTTGCACATACAGAACCCGCATAAAGTGAGGGAAACCTGTATTGACAACGTTTCATAGAGATGGTTTCAGGAGTGGGTTGTGCTAAACTGTCATTGTGGTAGATTCTCATCAGTATGTTTGTATGTTTTGGGCCATGTGTTTTATAGTCAGAGTCAGGGTTGGCTGTATTTAATCAACTTTGTGGTTGGTTTCCATCACTCCCCACTATTTGGCACTGGTGAGGCCAAGTCTGGAGTCCTAAGTCCAGGTGTAGGACCCCCACTACAGAAAGGATGTGAGCAAATTGGAGAGAGCCCAGCAGAGGGCAACAAAAAGGGTTAGAGGGCTGGGGCGCATGGCTTATGAGCAGGGATCCTGGTTTTCCATGATAAAAAAATGCAAATTCTCTGATAAAAATCCCCAAACCTGTGGTTAAAATTAAATGCCCCCACAGCCCTGCTGGTGTCCCTCCCCCTCCATCCTCCCAGCCCTGCTTGTGCCTCTTGCCCCCTACCCACAGTGCCTGCTCCCCAGCTGCCAGGGCTATGGGGCCAGGGACCCAGGTCCGCAGCCCCCTGCCCCTAATGGAAGGCAGCAACTACTACAGCAGGAGCACGAGCCGGCTC